ATGGTGAGCGCTGTGAATTGTGTAAGACTGTTGAATCACAGACCTGTACCTCTGAAACAAATAATACATTATATGTTAAAAAAAAAAAAAAGAAGATAGTAGGAAGGAAGAAATGAAGGGGGGAAATCGGTGGGAGAGACGAACCATGAGAGACTATGAACACTGAGAAACAAACTGAGGGTTCTAGAGGGGAGGGGGTGGGGGAATGGGCTAGCCTGGTGATGGGTATTAAAGAGGGCACATACTGAATGGAGCACTGGGTGTTATATGCAAACAATGAATCATGGAACACTACATCAAAAACTAACTATGTAAGGTATGGTGATTAACATAACATAATTAAAAAAAAAGATGACTTCTAATGGTAAAGTTGAAAGAGTTCTTGTACCACTAGTAGAATATTCATTTATTAGGCCTGGAAGGAACCACATCTTATTTCTGCTGTGTATGGTTTATGGTTGTCTCTTCAGCACTCAGACTTGTAAGCTGCTCTTTAAATACTTGCTGAATGAAAGCCTAGTGAGTGTAAGTGTCCTGAGACCCAAATGGGGGTCAGAAGTCCCTAAAGGAATTATATCTTTAAGCCTGAAATGGAGATACTGGGATTACCTCATAGCATCATGAATTTCTCTCTCCACCAGTTCCTTAATCACTCACTAAAAATTTTCATAAATACCCACTCATCACTAAAATAATGTTTCTTTGAACTTGGTGTGCAAATTCTGAAACCTTTCTTAGTTTTCGATTGCTATTTTTTGACACATGGTACATACAAGTGGTCTATAAATGTTACCATTCTTCCCTAACTTCTTTAGCCCCTACAGTCTGGCTGCTTCTCACTCCTCCCCCTATGCCAAAGTCAGGGGTCCTTCCTAAGTTCCAGTTCATTAAACCCTCTGCAAATTATTGAATAATCCAGTCCTCCTGAAACTCTCCCAATATGAGAAGTCAAAACATAGCATACTTATTTTTTCTTACAGTTTAAACCTGATAGTTATTTCTATAGAACCAAAGTATCATTCATATGCTTCAAATAATATGTACTAATATCCTAAATGTTCAAAGGTAGGGAAAAATTTTTTTTTCCAATTATAGTATATTTATTGAAGCAGTTCTCAAATTGTGATTTATTTCTAATTATTTATAGCCTCTAAACACCCCATGATGAACATACATTCCTATTGTAATAAGAATAAAAAATACGTCATACACACACAAAAATATCCCAGCATTTTAACAAGGGTTATCTTTGGATAGTAGGATATTTTAGTTGATATAAACTCTACACAAACTCCATTTTTTCCCAATATTTTCTAGAAGGAGTACATGACACTTACCTAATTGGAAAAATAATTAACATTCCATCAGGAACTGTTTCTAATATTATATCAGAGAATTAACAAAATGCCAAATTTATATGAACACAATTATTCAACTTCTTAGATTTAGTCAAAAGGATATGTATATCTAACATGTTTGATAATGACAGATAAAGCAGGTATGGGCTTTCAAACTAAGTGTCCTGCTCTTCTGAATACAGTTTCTCCCATCTCTGGATTTAGAGGGTTCAATATTCATTTTTTAAATTTAATTAGTAGCATTTATAGGACTCAAACATAGACTAAGAATTTGTGGTCTCTCAATGTCACAATAACTTCAGACTTTTTTAAGAAATGAATAAAATGCTGAAATTTGTATCACATTTAAATTTCCAGGGGGTTAATTTTTCTTTTATTACAGAAATTTTTAAATATTATTTGAAAAGTTTAAGAGTGGAAGTTAGCCAGAACTGTTATTTTGGCCAACAGCAATGTGATCTAGCACAGTCAGAGAATGGTTTATTTCCCAATGCCATCTTTTCCAAGGGGAGTGTAGGAAAAAGAAATTGGAGACGTGGGTCCTAGTGGTCCCATCCTCCACTAGTTCCTTGTGTGATCTGAGATAACTTCCATCTATGTGGTACTATTTATTTTACCAAGTTAAAAACTCAGAGTTGGTCCAAATGACACCTAAATATCTTTGAACCTCAAGATTTGAAATCCTGTTTTTTTTAATTTATTTTTTTTTAAGATTTTATCTATTTATTTGACAGAGAGAGATAGCGAGAGCAAGAACACAAGCAGGGGGAGTGCCAAGCAGGGAGCCCGATGTGGGGCTC